GCACACAACCAGAGTCCAAATGTCTTTAGTCCGCATTCCCCAGCCAGGGAAGCTTTAAGCTGATATGCTCCTTGGGAGGCCGCTTCAGTACAGGTACCCTATGGTCAGGTCACTTCAGTACACGTACCCTATGGTCAGGTTCAACAGGCCGTACCGGACCAGACCAGGCTGACATTTGGGACCAAAAAACAACTGCTGATGTACGCCTTGGGACAGTAAGCATTGGGGACATGGTGGCCCATCAGCATCGTGGGTGAGTAATCAGAAACGCCCTGTGTACCATGTCCTCTGACCCCAGCCTGGGCTCCGTGTCTCTCTTTGCTCTCCAGGGCTCCAGAGGCTTTTGTGTCCATTCAGCTGGAGAAGGTGGGCCTGAGAGACCTGATGCTGGATGCTTTCCTCCTCCGGAAACAGACCATGGGGGACAGAATGAAGGGCCCCGTGAGTACGCAGGCAGAAGGGCTTCCCAAGGCTCTGCTCTCGTTTTGTATTAATATAAATAAAATCCTGAACTTGGACTCTGTTGCTTTCAGCCTACTTGGGGAAACCTATTGGAAGTAAGTTGTGAAGAACTAAAGGGAAGCATGACTGGAAAGGCATTGGAGGGGCTGGGGACTTTAGCTCAGGGGCATAGCACCTGCCTTGCAAGCAGGTGGTCATGAGTTCGATCCCCAGTACCAATAAAAAAAAAAAAGAAAGAAAGAAAAGGCATTGATTTGAGAAGACTACAGTCAAGATTTTAACATCATATGTGGTTGGTTTAGGTACTTTCTAATGGGACTACTTCAGTATCTTTACAGGGACATTTCTCTACTGCAGAGGAGCCTACAGGATTCTCAGGAGCCCTTTTGGTCACCTGTTATCTTTTTCAGACACCAGTGACATGTTTCTGTGTAAGGGTCCCTAGTATGAGCCTAGTCAGTTGGAATATTATAAAATTGAAGCCTTTACTCAGTGAAACTCATTATTTGTGCAGATATCATTGTATTAATCCTCAGTTTTGTTGAGGAAATCATTATGCTAATGCATAGTTATTTGGGATGAAAATGCTAATATTTATTATCTCTAGACTTTGTCCTGCATGTGACTGGAAAGGAAGGATTTGTCCTAATCCATTACTGCACAGGGGATGTGATGGAGCTTAGATCTAGTTACTGATGAGCAGTGTTGGAAGCAAAGGGCCCCTTCCAATAAACGATTCTGAAAAAAATGTCACCAGTGGGAAATAGAACATTTCATTAACTACCCTTCAGAATGATCCAGCACCTGGTGTAGACACCAGAAAGAGTCTGGGCGATGTCATGACCAGCTTCATCAGGGTCTTTCAGCAAGTTAGTCTGTTACTGTTCTGTGGCTGCTGCACGAAGACTCAAAACAACTAAGTCAGAGACAAAGAACTTCATTATAGCAGAGCAGGCCACGTGGGCTTCATGTTTGTGTCACCTCCCCCCGCCTGCATCCCAGAGGGACAATGTGAAGGCGTTTACACACACCCAGTGGGTTTGTGAAAACACTGAGCTATGGGGAGCCCACCTCTTAGATAGAGAGGATGCTCTTTCTCCCCTGACCCGTCAGGATTGCTCTCTGCACACCCAGCCCTGAAAAACAGTCCAAATAAAGATTGGCTGAGCTCTGGCATACTTCACATGCTCACCCAGATATGGAGGAACAGAAGAGACCCATAAAAGACTGTTTCCCAAATGTTTACCTCCAGAAAATATATCTCAACTGTGTGGCTTTTTCCTGCTTGAAGTTAGCTGTAAGTTTGTACATCAGGATGTGTGGTCCTCTCTTTCAACTATCCAATGAAAGAACCATCCTTCTGTTTTATCACAGGATGCAACTGAAAAGGTCAAGAGGGAGCTTATAATTGAATATTGTCAAAAGTAAGTATAGTCTATCTGAATAACACAAGCCGATTTCTCTAACCAGCAGTACTGTGTTGAAATCCAGACAGTGAGCCAGATGGTGGGTGTTTTAATGAACTGAAGGCATATTGGATAGTACAAAGCGGAGTCCTGTCACATAGAAGAGCCCTAGAAGTAAAGGACAGGGGAAAGAGGCTCATTCCTCTGCTTCCAACCAATGCAAACCTGACCCAGAGGGAAATTTCTATGTGTCAGAGATGCTTCATTCTCTTTGAGGGGTCCTCCAGAGGAGGATATCCTGAGAGATGGAACAACTTGAGTTTTTCTTTGGCACATCAGCTCTTCTTTTCATCTGCAGGTTTAACCGCCACATGTCTCATTACGCATTCCGGGCTCAGATCATGTCGTACTGCAGCAGCCTGAGAGCTCTGCTAGAGGACTTTCCTGTTATCAAAGACACCTTCTTCATGATGGGACAAGCACAAGACAAGAAAGGGCCGAGGGATTTCAAAGAGGACCTCAAGGCTGACCCCAGGTGTGTGATGCCTTTTAGAGTGTGTTGCTGTGCCCTACCTCTCCACAGGAAGAGCGGTCTTAAGTTTAGTATGAAAACCTTTGCTGTTACAGCTTGAATCTTAAGTACCCCCGAAGCTCTATGTAATAAAGGCCTGTTCCTCAGGATTTCACTGCTGTGAGGTAAGAGGTGAGGCCTAGTAGAAGGTGTGTAGGCCACTGAGTTGTACCCTTGAGGAGAACTGTGGGATCCTGGCCCCCTTTTCCTCTCCTTCGCTTCCTGTCCCTGGAGCGAGTGGTGTCGCTCCCACAGACACTGCCAGCATGCGCACCGCCTCACCCAAAGTGACTTGGTCAGCTGATCGTGGTCTAAAACTCTACAACCTGTAACTGGTCACCTTAGGTGTTAGTAACAGAGATCAGACTGACCTGCTTTGCCGACACACACAACACTTGACCTTGATCTTATGGTACATAAAGGCAAAAGGAAAAGTAACATTTCAAAAATAAGAGCATCTTTGTGTTTGAACCTAGACTGAGCTTTTGTTCATAGGCTCTTTGACTTTTTTCCAATCGATGCAGTTTTCTTTTCCCTGGGGACCTCAAAGATTTTCATTACTCACAACCTTTTATATGAACTAACATCTAAAATAAATAAGCTTGGTTTTGTTTTCATTTTTGTGGGGGTTTTTTTTGTTTTGTTTTTGGTACCAAGAATTGAACTAGGACCTTACGCTTGCCGGACAGGCGCTTATGCCACTGAGCTATATCCCCAGCCCACTAAGCTTGATTACGAGAGTTGTCCAAACTTCAAATATTCTATTCAGTGGAGTAGAAAAAATACTAAGGAGAAGAAAACCCTGATAAATCAGTGCCGTTAGGACCCTATTTTTCCCTGATTAGACATTAGGTGATAATGGTGATGTTGGTGTCAATATAGACATAAATAAATACAGTGATCAGAGAAGACCTACTTCTGTACTTCCTGGGCATGCTTTACCTAGGGTTCCAAATGTTCTTATTTAAGTCTACCTGGCTGGGTGGTACTAACCACACTTCCTTTCTTAAAAGGGAGGCGTATGTGGTATGTATCTGTGCAGCATCTGTGCAGAGAAACAAAACTTCCTTGTAGAGTGAGCTTACCTCCCCCATTTAGCCTTTCCCTCATAACAAAGAGTTTCAGGAACAGTAATGCATTTTTAAAATATGATCATAGACTGGAAAAATGAAAGAGTATTAAAGGATCATTTGTACCAATCACCCTTCACTCATTCAGCCATCCACACACACACACTACACAGTCAACACTGATTCATTGTTTACCACGCACCAGGAATTTTGCCGCAGGTCAGAGTTACAAAGGTGGGTAAGTCCTTGACTGACAATAAATTTAATCTACCAGGGAAGCTCTGCACACAAACAAGTCATTTGAGAGATGCTTCACGCTCTTGTGAGAGATGTTCCGGGTGGTCTGTGAGGACTCAAAGGAAGGGAACGTATAACTGTCGCCCAGGGCCCCCGGGAGGAATTCAAAGAAGAGATGACAGGAAAGTTAGAGACTCCCCAAGAAAAGAGAATGATAGAGGCTGGAGAATGAAAGAAATCGAAGTCCTAGGAAAGCGGCCAGTCCTACCTTGATGCTTAGAAGGTGCTTGGTTTGGGGGTACCAGTGTTTTGTTTTATAAGCCTGGCCAGCACTTTCACTTGGGTAGACTTTGGGACTTACTTAAAGGAAGATGGCACTTTAGAAAACAGTAGTTAAGTGGTTTATCTTGCTGTAGGGACTGAGTGGACAACGTGACCCTCTGTGAGCTGGAATGCACCATTCTCCCACGTAGGTATCCCAGGAGAATCCTCTAAGACTTCTTACGTCCGATATTTCATTATCCTCTGTCCTAGTGACTGCTCATGAACCCCATCTACATTTGGGACCTCACCTTAGAAGTTCTTTCCAGAAGTCTAACCGTGAATTTGCTTTCCTTGTGTTTAGGATGAGCTGTATTCAGGAAGTTCATTTTCATTTCCTGGCTGTTTAATTTGTGGCAACCCAATAAGGGGATCTGAATGTGAGTGAGAGGGATTATCCTTCCACCTTGCTGGCCTTTATTTTGTATAGGTAACGGTATTTCCTAAAGATGAAGGGACATAGTCATTTAACCTAGACAGCCTGGACACCTGAGTCATCTTCTTGGTTAATGAGTGATAAATTCAGGGTAGTGTTTTGGACCAAGGAAATGTGGACAAAGTGTCCATGTGGACCCAAGTCACAGAGTTGTGCTGGGATGAGCTCTAGCTGATACAGACTCAGCAGCTCCCCACTACACCCGTCCCCTGCTTCCTAAACTCTCTAGATATTAGTTAATATGTTCCTTTTAATACATCCACTTAGAAGAATATGGAGAAAGCAACTTCTGCCTTATGTGAGACTTTGGCAAAAGTACTGTATAAGATTCTCTCTAACTGTAGATTCTGTGGTTCCACACATTAAATACTTATGGATAAAAACATAGGTGTGTTAGTCTGCACTGCATTACTGTAGCAAAACACTGGGAGCTAGATAACCTCACATTTTTTACGTTTTAATCAAGAAGTGTATTTAGCTCAAGGTTTCGGAGGTTTGCAGACCTGTAACCAGCATCGGCTCAGCTCTGGCAAGGCCCTCTTGACCGCCTGGCATCACACTGGGAGTGTACACGTCAGGAGGAAATTTCATTTTACAGAGATAAAGGGACAGGGCTGAGAAATAAGTGACCTAGAGAAAAGTGGTCCACGTCTCACTCATAAAACAAGGGGAAGGTGACACTGAGAATCAGAAACAAGCTTTATTTAAATCTTGGTAATTTATTAGTTGCCAACTAAGAATTCTGAGGCACCTCAAGTCTGTGAGAGTGTGGTAAGTGACTGGCAATATTCACCATAGTTAAGGAGAAGCAAAGACGTAGCCCTGCTCTTAACAACTGCCACCCCCTGACCAAAAACACCCGTGCACTCTGTAGCTTTAAGATTCCAAGAAATAATCGAATCTTTAAGCAGCTGTTGAGTACTCTGCTCCATTCAGTAGACCCTTCCAAACTGGAGTCTCTGTAGAAGATGAGCGTGGAAGGGGACCCTCTTTCCAGGGACAGAAGCCTTGAGGCTTCTGTTTCCTTTCTGGTTTGAGGTGATACCAGACGCTGGAGGTTTATCCAACTGCACCCCAAGGATCAGTGGCACTGACTGATGGAGGAGCTGAGGAGAGACAGAGAGACAGACAGAGAGATTGAACACTATGTGACAGTAAGGGCCACTGTCATCCTATAGAGTTTTTTATGCAAATGAGAAGGCGCCCTTTTTCTGGGCACACCAGGGTGCAGGATTTGGCAAGTAAAAACCGGGCTGGGTCTCGGCCACTGCTGGTTGCCTCAGGGCACAGTTTGAACAACAGTACATGGTAAGTGTTGGTCATGGCGGCACATGCCTGTAATCCCAGCACTGGGGAGGCTGAGGCAGGAGGATTGTTGTGAGTTCAAGGCCAGCCTGGCTACAAAATGACTTTCAGGCCAAACTGAACTACCTGGTGAGACCCTGTCTCAAAAAGATGAAAAAAAAAAAGCCAGCACATGGCAGTCTTAGTGCCAAGTGCTGTACAACAGTGTCATAGCCATGATCTGTGCGCAGCGAGGGAAAATAGATAACAGTAAATAGATAATAACAGAAAATAGATAATAACAGCACACTGCGATATAGAATAAAATAAACCAAACGTTCAGCCAGAGCACGCACCAGGCAGTGCTCAGCGTTATCAGAAGGACTGAGGAAACGGGGCAAGAGCAAGAAAAGCTGCAGGACAGAGAGACGCATAATCAACCTGGGTCTTGAGTGAGGTCTGGTGCTCTAAGGCGAGGACAGGAAATGCTGTTCACACTGGAAGAGCCAGTGTGAACGGGAGCGAAGGCACAGAGCAGAGAGGGTGCGCGTGTGTTGAAAGCCCCAGTTACTGAAGACGCGTGAAAGATTTGTCTTACTGTGTGGTGTGGCACACAGCTGCAAATGGAAAAAGAGACGGTCACAGCTGTAAAAGGGCTCCGGGATGGCCAATTGCTGCCAAGAACAGAGGGCGTTCTCCACGGCAGCTTTTATTGCATGCACGAGGAACAGAGGCAGGTGTGGAGTACGGGCAGAGGGTCGCGGTTAGATGTGTGGGCACGGTCACTTCTGCAGACCGGCTGTCAAAAGAGAGAAATGAGGCCTTTGTGCATCAGGCACAAAACTATCGATCTTTTGTAGCAGCTTAATGGGTAACTTCGTATGCTGTTATAAGCAACTTTTTCTGCTGAGGAAAAGATTTTGTTTTGAGTCTTAAGGTTTTAGTACTGCCGTGATCCCGTATCTCGGCCCTGACCCTCGTCAGCTGTGGCCTCACGAGGGGCCCCCAGATTGCTGCGCTGCCTCCCCAGGACACATCAGCACCTTAGCTGAACTCCAGTTGCATTCTTTAGGCCAATTAAGAAGTTATCTCTGTGCAGCTATCATTCCCATGCTCCTGTATTTATTATGCCAGGGTTCAGGCTACATCAAGGGTGATGGTCAGGGGTCTTCAATTCAGTGGTCCCCACACTGTGGGCCTCTGTGGGACTCATGCCCGGGGTAGATGAGGACAGTGACTAGAAGTGAAGTCTGATGTGTACCCTTCAGAGAAGAGAAGCAGGATGGTTATCAGCGACACCCGTGAGGAAGGTACCAAAATTGTGTAGACAAGAGGTCTGGAGGAGGTGACCAGCTGGGCCAGCTGCCAGACTTGATGTGGAGCTGGGGAAGGAAGAGAAAGAATCTAGGATGTCACCCAGGCTGGGGGGGGAGGGCACACCAGTGCCATCATTGTTTCATAGGGAGAGAATTTGAATTTTGGAAAATTAAGAAATGTGCTGGGGGTGAATGGTGGTGATGGTTTCACGACAGTATCAATGGACCTAGTGCCACTGAATGGTTAAAGAATGGATAAAGGACCAAACGGTGCCATCTGTAGTTCACTATTTCACGGAAAAGGCAGTGTGCCAGGAGGAGGACAAGCATGCAGGGAGAGGATAAATCACACCGAGGAGAACTGAATTTCTTTTCCTGCTTCCCAGCTGTTTATTTGGGGTGTGCTCTGCACGTTCATTAACTTCCACCATGCCGGGTCTCCCACAGGGGCAGGGTGTGTGTCTGGCTACATGTGGCAGCTGTGATCCTGAGGACAGGACTGTCTTCACGGTGTGTCCCGGTGCGAGCCTCTGACTTGGAGCCAGATGAAGGCAGTGAGGGTCACAAGGAAGTAGAGGCAGCTCCAGGCAGGGGGGTTTAATTCACCCTGAGGGGTAAGGACGAGGGAAAATCTACGAAGGCTGCCTGACCTCTGGCTTGGGGGCTGGGGGTCCTGGGACACAGCAGATTGAAGCGGGGTAGGGAGGGGCTCAGTTCTTGCCCTGAGCTGGTCTGAGGCACCGTCAGCGAGATGAAGCAGTTGACCTGTAGAGCTGGGGCGGCCCGGCGCCTACTGTGTAGACACAGGAGTCACCGACGGACGGCAGTTGTGGCCAGCAGAGTGCAGGTGACTGCCCAGGGCTGAGGCAGTGCTGGACAGAGCGAAGGACTGACCACAGGCGCCCTAAGTAGAAGAGGGGTGTGGGCAAGGGCTCCACACCCACGATGCCAACTTCTTCTCTTTCTCTCCCCGGTGAGGCCGGCCTGTCCCAGCAAAGCCGGAAAGGCCCGAGGTGGCGCTGGTCTCTGCTTTCCCACATGACCTTCGGTCCTAGGGCACCCTCTCAGCAGCTTCTGGTCCTCAGTTCTTAATGAATTTCTTTGCGGGATCTGTGTGCACACCTCAGCTCCCACCCAGCAGATGCCAGCACCCACACCTTAGCTGCATAAGAGCAGACTTTGCAGACCAGCGGTGCATGTGAGATACTTGGCAGATACTCTCTTAAAAACTTACTTCTCGGGGCTGGGGATTTAGCTCAGCGCATAAGTGCCTGCCTGGCAAGTGCAGGGTCATGAGTTCGATCCCTGGTACCAAAAAAAATTGTTTTAAAAACTTACTTGTCACACCAACCCTGCGAGTTAGAAGTAACTACCCCGTATTATAGATGAGGAGGCTCAAAGAGACAACTTTGTGAGACCATTCAGCCGTAGATGGTGGAAACTGAACTCAGAATCAGGTCCTCAGAGGCCAAACACCACACTCTGACCTGCATATGTCTCGGGTCGCTTGTCTTACATCAGAGGAGCACAGCTAATGAGAGGCTGTGACACTGGGTCCTTAAGTGGGGTTACAGGGAGGGCCTTGCTCCTTGGATGATACAGAAACCAGACCTGAAAGCCACCTTCCCCGTGGGCTTCTACCTGCGTGAAAGTCGAAAACAGGCAAAACTTGTTATCTCTTCCTGATGTGTCCATTTGTGGTAAAATCACAGAGAAATGCAAGGTATTGATCGACATAAAATTCAAGGTGGTTGATCTGGGGGCCCCAGGGAGGTGCACAGCCGGCTTCAAAGGTGCAGGTAAGAGGCTGTTTCCAGGCCAGGTGCCTGGCTTTAGGAAACCCTTAAACTAGACCTGTCTGGTGGGTCTCTGTGGGTAAACCTGCAGTGTAGACAGCTACCCTGCTGCCTGAGAGATGACTAGGTACTTGGAGGAGGAGAAGCCTAAGGCTGAGGATCCCCACAAGAAACATGGTGGGAGACAAGTAAAATAATACAGTGTCTACAGCCTGGATCCTACAGCCAGCCAGATGTGCATCTGAATCCTAAATTCACGTCTCAGGAGTCGGGCAGGCAGGATCTAAGCTCTCAAGAGCTCAATGTCCTCAGCTGTGAAACAGGAATAAAAATAGATCCGTCCCAAGGCTGTCAGAAGCATTAAGTGGCATAAAATATGTAGCACCCAGGATGGTGCCAGCGCTCTCATTCCGGCCTGCTTCTCCCCTCTTTCCGCACCTTTCCCTCCCACCGTGCCGTGGCTTCCTCCCACACAGCGCAGGCTAAAATCAGCCCAGCCGCTCTTCCTCCCATCGAGCTGTTTATAAATAACTCTGGTACTCTGGCCACCTGGGAGCACAGCCGGGGAAATGAAGGTTTTTGTCCTTGGGCTTGGACATGACGGGGCCTGTAGGGGCCGGCCTTGTGGCCTGCGGCTGGGGTCTGAGTAGTCGGTGCTCAGGGTGCCTCTGGTTTGGAGGCATCAATGCCACCGTCTGCACTAAACATCCTCCCTTCTGATGCTACAGGGGTTTTCAGTGCCAGCCTCGGAGTTTGCTGTCAGCGGACGGACAGATCGTCCTCAATTTATGGTTCATCCCACATCCTGCCGAAGTGCTGCTCATGTTCAGAGCTCTGCCAGAAGAGGTTTGTAATTGCTGCGCCAGGATGGAACATGGGAGGATGCCTGGTGTATTTTTATCTTCAGAGACGTCTAATAGCTGAAATCTTCACGGCTTCTAATGCTTTGGCCTGCTTTATTATAATTTTTCTGTGGCGGCGTTATGTCAGGAGTTCTGGTTTTCCCTGGTCATAAATAAATACTAATTTGGGCTTCTGACATTATTTACTAATCCAATGTTTCCTCCCAAACCCTTCAGCAAAACCCACCTGCTGCCCTGTAGCTGGTGAGAGTGGGGGTCACACTTGCAACATGGCTGGTGGCTGGTTTTTGAGGATTCACTCTAGATAACTTACAGATAGAAGTTTGTATTTGTAACCATAAAAAAGAGCCTATAGAAGCACAAAACATAAAAGAATGCGCTAAACAAATAAAAGCACAATGTTGAAAATGGCATTTAGGAATTCTCTTTTCCTCCTCTTCCACCTCCTCCTCTTCCTCCTCCTCCTCCTCCTTCTTCTTCTTCGAGACAGGATCTGTGTATTGCAGGCTGGCCTTAAATTCACTATGTAGCCTGGGCTGCCCTTGAACTCAAATTGAGCCTCCTGCCTCAGCCTCCCAAGTGCTGGGATTATAGGAGTGACCCACTACATCCAGCTTTTTTTTTATTTGCTAATTTTTCTTCTTAAGTGAAAACTTATTTTGCAACAAATATCTCTGCTTTCAGTCAGGACAATGTTGTGTGAATGATCATGGCTATGAATTTATTTGTGTTCTTTGTAATTTAGTAATGGCCAAAAAAGGCCATTTTGGTGTATTCTTGGCCGCCAGCGATCTTAAACAAAGAGAAACACATTGCTTTACTCCCCTACAGGAAAAGGTACCCTTGGTCAAGCAGATGACCCTGGTTTGTGTGAAGTTTGCTGTTTTCTTTTTCAGATATTAGCCTGTGCATGCCATGGGCATGTCTACTTAAATACAGCTGGCTTTCTGTGCCACAGGTTCCACATCCATGAATTCAGCCAACTACTGATGGAAAATATTTAGGAAAAAATTCTGTCTGTACTAAACATATATAGATTTTTCCTTCCCTGTCATAATTCTCTAAGCAATGCCATATAATAACTATGTACATAGCATTCACATTAGGTACTATATCTAGAAAGGATTTAGAGTTTACACAAGGATGTATACATGCAGATACTGCTCCGGGTTACACAAAGCATCCATGCACTGTGGTGCCCTCCAGGGTCCCCGAAGCAGTCCCCTGGAGGCTGATGATTGTATCTCTAAAGACACTTCCCTGCTCACGCTCAGATATGTTGCTTCTATCCACAGGCAGCTTTGAGGGCCTTAAAGCTGACTCTGCAGCTGATCGCCTCACTCCATGACATCGTGGCCTACCTGGTCAGTTTCACTGCACTGGGCCATCCTCCGGCCTGCCGTGAGATCCCTCTGGGTCCTCACACTTTGAGAGACAGCTGGGGAGGAGCTGAGGACATTGGTGAGTGGTCAGGGTGATTCACATCACACTCCATATGTAGTTAGAACTCCAGGGAGCTCTCCACACTTGGAAGATAGAACTCTATTTCCTCATGACAATGATTAGGGTGAAGAAAAAGTCCCAGTTCCCAAACTGCATGCTTACCGTGCACCAAGTCAGGAGGCCCAGGTTTGAACTTTGCCTCTGAGTGTTGGTTACCACAAGCCGAGGACTTCATACCCTGGGGCTCTGTTTGTCCTTCCATAAGTAGGGCTGATACCTCCTGTCTCATAGAGTGTTCCGTGAGTTTAACTGTTGGTGGCCTCATTAAAGTCTGGTTTTCTTTCATTCCCTTTCCTTCCTACTCTTTTTGAACTCACCTGGTAAGATCCAAGCCAAACACCTCTTTGTAGGATAACAAGAGGCGTAATGGTAACCATTTTTGATCTCCTAGTAATCTCTTTTAGCATTATGTACTATGTCCATCCTCCTGTTCTGACTCTGTTTTGCTTTATCACATAGTGGGGTTTTTTGTTCTGTTTTGTTTTGTCTTGTTTCTTGTTTTATATATATTTTTTTCTTTTCCTCTTTAAAGAAAAAGTTGTAAGAACTGTGGGAGTAATGGAACCCAAAATGTGTGATTGTTAGCATAAAACAGGGAAGAAAGAAAGTGATCTAAAGGATACAACTGCAAGAGTATTTAACAGTGTAGGATAGAAAACCGTATTACTGAGTTTTTGTTGGATCACTGAACAGAACTGTCTGCAATCTCACTGTATTAATGTCCACTTTGTATGCTTTAATTTTGTAACCTGGTCAACTGTCTCTGAGATGACAATATGTAATCTATTTACTAGTGAATTCTTACTGTATATTTTTTCTCTTGAAATTCTGTATTACTTGTAGCCTTTTACTGTCTTGCCTTGTCTTGTTTTGTTTTTCTCTTTAAATAAAAAAAAGAAAAAAGATCCAAGCCAAACGTGCACAGTTAAGAAGCTTGCAAACAACCCCTGGTTAGCTGATAACCACCGGATGGCCCTGTGGTCAGAATGATTTAGGTGTTAAGTTTCCTATGCCCACGGCTAGTCGGTGAATCTCAACTCATCAACAGGTTATATGACAGTCGGTTGTGCTATTAAGACACTCTAGAATAGTAGGGTTTATCAGAGCAGAGAGATCGCTGTTATTTCATTTCTTTTCTTTTTTTTTGGTACCTGGAATCGAACTCATGACCTCACAATTTTCAGGGAGGTGCTGTGTTGCTGAGCTACATTCCAGGGCCCTTGATCTGATTTTAGTAATATGACTTCCATCCAAATTATTTCACTAATCATATAAATATTAATCAATGAATAGCTAAATATCATGACACAATAGCCAGGAATTTTTCTTTCTTTTTTTTTTTTTTTTGTCTTTTTCCTTTTTATCGGTACCAGGGATCGAACTCACGACTGCCTGCTTGCAAGGCAGGCACTTATGCTGCTGAGCTAAATCCCCAGTCCCAGGAATTTTTTTGTTTGTTTGTTTGTTTGTTTTGTCTTTTTTGAGATAGGGTCTTGCTATGAGGTTCAGGCTGGCCTTGAGCTCACTTTGTAGCCCAGGCTGGTCTCGAACTCACAACGATCCTCCTGCCTCAGCCTCCCGAGTGCTGGCATTACAGGCGTGAGCCACCACGCCCGGCTCAATAGCCAAGAATTTTTAAGAATAAGAAGAGCCTAGAACTGAGAAATAGACCTGTTTTATCCTAGTGGTTTAAAATGCAGTATCATCCGAATCTGTGTCCATCTGGCTAATGCATAAAGGCAACATTTGTGGGAGACCCTGCAGCTGGAGGCCAGAAGACTTGTACTGTGCTAACAGACTGGAAGGAACCTGGACATCCCGGAGGGGTGCAGGAGGACCTTTGTGGTGATCGGGACAGAGGTGGACGCATGTCTGAGGAAAAGTGTGTGTAAGGGCATCAGTGTAGGTGCCACCTTGGCAGAAGGTGCAGAATCTGTGCAGACGTGAGCGCTCAGATTAGCACGTCTGCGAGGAATACATCTAAAAATTAGAGCAGACCAGAAGCACTGTTAGATGTTTCCTTTTACTAACGTAACAGCTGTTGTCAATGAGATTCAGAAAATAAGACACTAAGGGAATTGCTGGGAGGAGGTGGGGTCGAGTTTTGAAGAGGGACAGCAGCAAGGACAGGCCACAAAAACCATCCCCCTGCCCATCCATCCTCCTGTCCTTGGGGTGAGGGCATCTTATTACGCGGAGAGGAGACAGCAGCTGAGAGCCAGAGTCACGGTTCCAGAGGAGGTTTCTGCTTTAGTCCCACGGCAGCCAGCAGTGCGGAGCTTCCGCCACCTGGCAAGGAATGACGTGGACCAGGGAGGAAAACCCGAGGGACAAGAGAGCGGCCCTGGCGAGGCGCCAGGCCGGGCTGCTCCTGGCCAGCTCAGCAGTGTGGCTCTGAGTATCGGTGAGAAATGCAGCCCAGTCGCTGAGGACCTGGCCTGCAGGATGAGGGGCTCCGGTGTCTTACACTCCTGAGATGCCCTAAGCAGGGGGTCCTGGAGATCGTGGAACTGAGTCTTTGGGATGCACAGCTGCAAACGGCACATTGACCCCATCGTTAGTAACAACATTCTTGCTGCAGGGAGAAAGTGCGAGCTCTGACTCATTGAAGACAGATGAAGAACAAACTTCACTGAAAACAAAACAAATTAACAACAACAACAACAAAAGCCCTAGAAGATAATCATCTTTTTGAAAAGGCAAACCCACTTAGGGCCTGGCCTGATTCCCAGAGGAAGCAGGGAACTAAGTGAGAGATGAAATGACTCTTCCTTTAAGCCATTTCCGAGCTATTTGAAGGTAGATAAAATGACTTTTATGGATTGAAATGCTTTAAAATACTGTTACAAGGGATACTCAGAATTTCAGCTGTTAGTCCTCTCTCTTGACCGAAGGAAGCAGCTCTTGGCCACTGTCAGTCAGCTCTGTGGGTGCTGCCCGCTGCCCTCGAAGGTGGCGGAAGGTGGCAGCCAGCCGCTCCTCCCTCTGGAGTGCTCGGGAGCAGGGCATGGACTCGGGTGGGAGTGAAGGCTGAGGTTTCTTTGTCAAGGATTAGAGCTCAGTTAAAGCCCAAGTGAGCACCCTGAATTTAGGACTCCAGGAACTCAAGGTAGGAAACACAGGGCACCGAATGGGAGTCTTCACTAGACAGGGCACAGCTCACCCCATCATTCTCTCCTCCTCCTCCTCCTCCCCCCTTTCTCCTCCTCCTCCTCCTCCTCCTCCTCCTCCTCCTCCTCCTCCTCCAGGGGGAAACACCAGAAATGTTCCCTTCCTGACGTTTCCTGAGTGCCCCAGGACCCAAACCCACCCCACTGCTGCCTGGCAACCAGCCTTGCCATCCTCACAGCCAGCTGAGCTGCCTTACCTGCCCCCTCTGCTGCCTCCCTGCCCACCAAGCACCCGGACCCTACAGAGACAGGAAAGCCAGAGGCAGATTTTTTAAAGTCAGTGAATAACAGAAGAAGTGTGGTCCCCACTTCCAGAGCCGTATTTTAATGATCAGGCTGTCTATCAGTACATACCTATTTTGCCCAAAATGTAGACTTGTCAAAGTATTCAAGATCCCCTGCCATCCAGCCACTCTAACAAGTAAAGTATTTTTTAACCTTACTCCCTTCCAGCCCTAAACCAAATATATTTTACATTTATATTTTATGGTACTTTGATGGCAGGATACGTCCAATTTTATATTCTCCTTCATCCACGGTCACTGCAGGGGATTATAAGCATTTGCCTCTGGTTTCCACTTAGTCTGCAGACCAGACAGACTTGGCCGTTAACCCATGAGGCCCAAGGGACTACCTTCCTGCCACCAACAGCCACAAAAGCTTTTGAACAATTTGCTATTATGTCACTCCTCTTTGGGTAGACACTTTGGACCCAAAGGACCATCAGATATAGAGGAGTCATAAAAAAATTCGATATTGCGGGGGGGGTTGGAAAAATACAAAGCCGTTAGGCCATTGTGGGTGAAGTGTCAGATAGATACAAAGTCTAGACTTTTTCTTGTCCAAAAGCCAAGGGACTATATGGCGAGAATCAGCAGCCTTGCAAGTACCAGCCACCTTTCTCGGCCTGGGCCTTCCCTGATTAAGTGCTCATGGGTGACTTCACTCCCACAGTCCCCGCTTTCCTGGTGGGTAAATGCTGGAGAAGACCCCAGCCCTGGGCTGGCAGCTGCTCACGATCAGTCCCTTCCTTGGACCAAACATGGGGATCCCAGGACAGCCGTCCAAATGCCGGCTACAACCCTTAGCCCAGCACAGAGTGTCCTAAAAAGCTTCTAAGTTAAATTTTCATCTAAAATATGTACATAATTGTTTATGCGGAGCCTAGTTTTGCAGTATGTGTCCAAGAAATACAGCAAAAGGGACCTCCCACACCTATTCCAAAAATGAATCTTCCAGAAGAATATGTGTCTGTGTACACGCACACAGGCCATGTGTGTATCTGCACGTATGTGTACACGCTTTACACTTGCTTTTGGTCGTCTTGAGTCTCCATCAGCGCACGAGTCAGTGGCATTAGGAAGGCTGATTGGAGGGTGGGGATTTAGCTCAGCGGCATAAGCACTTGCCTGGCAAGTGTGAGGTTGTGAGTTCGATCCCTAGTACCAGAAAAAAGAAAGAAAGGCGGGCTGATTGGGATGGCCCTGCAGTGCAGATGAGTGCTGGTTTATAATGTCTAAGTCCCTAACAGGGCTGAAAACGGTATTTCCCATTCTGTATAAATTTGCTTTTCCTTCTGTTTTGAGACCTTAGCCTTGTAAATTATAAAATTTTCTTTCAACAGCAGGTTCTTGTTGTGCTGAAAAGCAAAGCAAGTTTTTGTCTTCTTAAGGAAGGAAAAGAAAAAAAAGAAATCAGATCTCAGGTTCTAGAGCATTAGCTTTGGTAGCTCTTGCAAAACACATGATTAGTACATCCACCAGGAAAAGGAAATCTGTCCGGGTGACGAGCTTGGAGGTGAAAGGAAGTGTCCCCGGCCCGGCTGTCCTTGCCCATATTTCCCCGTCTGATTCAGATGTTGTCCTCTTCCAGGGACTGAGCTTCAAGAGCTACAGAAGATGCTGGACAGCCTCCAGGACCCGCGGGACCCAGCCCTGGTGGCCCAGGCGCTCTGCCTCCACAGGGAAGTTCTGTTTCTGCAGTTTGACGGTGCAGTGCGGCACCTCGTGCGGTGAGGGTCAGCCCTGCTTCCGCCTGGTCGGTCCTGCTGGGCAGGTGTTCACTGAGTGACTGTCTCAGGAGGCCGCTCCTGGCAAGATTAGATATGTGCTTAAAATAGGGCACAGATGGACCCACGAGGCTGGCTACTGAGTCCGTCCTGCTGTCTATGGGGCATATGTTCCAGTATTCTCCGTAGTCCTAAATACAATTCCAAAACAAATTGTGTAATAATTTTTGCTTTCCATATCCAGGGCTTTTTTTTTTTTTTTTTTTTTTTTGGTACCAGGGATTGAACTCATAACCACGCACTTGCAAGGCAGGAGCTTATGCTGCTGAGCTAAATCCCCAGCATATCCAGGTTGTTTTATGAGAATAAACACTTTATAATACTGAAGATTACTAAGAGTTTTACTTAATTTTTCCTCCAAATTTTTGTTTATCTTTCAAAGGGACAGAATTTTCACTGAACTTGTTATGCTAATGAAATTGACTGCTTATTTATCAATAAGTAAACCTGGCTGGGTGTGGCGGCACACGCCTGTATTCCCAGCATTCTGGAGGCTGAGGCACCAGGATCTCTGTGAGATCAAGATCAACTGGGCTACACAATCTGTCTCAAAAAAAAATTTTAAAAAAAAGTGAGGGATACAGCTCAGTGGCACAAGTGCCTGCCGGGCAAATGTAAGGTCCTCAGTTTGATTCCCAGTACCAAAAAACAATTTTAAAAAAAGTAAACAAAAATAAATAAATAAATAAGTAAATCTAACTCTAGCCTGTCAGGAACTAACTATTAAGTACTCTCCCAATACAGAAATGTTTTATTTGGCTAATCAATCATGATTCCAGTGATTTTTTTTTTTTTTTTTTTTTTTTTTTGTCTTTTTGAGGCGGGATCTCACTACGCAGTACAAGCTGGCCTTGATTCATTTTGCGGCCTTGCACTTGCAGTGATCCTCCTGCCTCAGCCTCCCATCCAGTGTGATTTTGACTGAGTTCCAATTAAGGTTTACACTGTCCCCAGAATAACTTTTATATGGGCGGGGAGTGGACTCCATTCCAGCCTCAACATCTCGGCTTATTCTTAAATTGTCAACACTCATTAGCTTCTTTTGATTAATTCAGAGTGTATTTAGTTAATGAGGGACTTCAGATGCTCATGGATAACAACTGCTTGCCTCCATCATCTCCGAGTGTCCATAGAGTTTGGAAATGTGGGGTTCGTACTGAATGAACTACATTTTTCTCTTTCTAAGCCTGCATTTTTTTCTTGTACCTTGCAAGGGTACTATTGAATTTAGAATGTAAATTTAGCAGAACAAAAAAAAGTCATGCCAATTTATTTTCTTTTTATGGACAAATAGCTTCCTCTTTGTCAAGCAGGTAGGATACAAAGGCTATCATTTATATATTCTTTCTATATATGAAGTTTATATTTTCTATATGTAGAAATTTTACATATAATTTAAATATATTTAATGACATAGTATATGTTTTTATTTTTTATTTTAAAATTTTTAATTGCTGCGTATTTGCAGTATATAATGATTATATTCATTGTGGGGAGTTGGTACATGATGCAACACGTTAATTCTTTTTATTTCATCCTTTCCTTTCCTGCGCCCGACCCTCATCCTGGTCCCCTTGCCATCTGCAGACTTATTACGCTGTTTCCTATCACTGTATCCGTCTTTTATTTTGCCCTTAAATTATTGGGCTTCTCCTAAGAGAATTCATGCAACATTTAAGCTCGTGTGTCTGATTCATTTCAGTTCTCATTACTACAGAAAGGCTCTCATCATGATGGCTATTGCACTGCCTCTGGGCTCTGGCAGCCCAAGGTCACAGCTTATAAAGAATTGATACGTGGTGAACCAATGTGAATATCTCCTAGAAGTGCTCTTTGGGTTCCAGCAACCCAGATCCGGTCCAGGACTGCCCTCCCAGGAGCACACACTGCTCGCCCCTGATTGCTTCTCAGGCTTGCTTTGTCTTGGCACATTCCACGTGCAGGAATGTAGAACCCCGTGTCCCTCTGTGCTTTCAAAGTCCTTAGACAACCAAGTTATCTAGAAATATTACAGCCAGTCAGACAGGGTTGGGCTCCGAAGATAAGAGCATGTTATAACTATGATTGGAGGTGTTGTGGTGGGGACTGTCGCATCATCAGGTGACAGGGTAGGCCCATGTGGAGGTTGGTGCCATGGTCTTGGCCAGGACAAGCTCTCTGGTAGCGAAGGCCCATATCCTGAAGTGAAGAAACCTAGTAAAAATTTAAAAGGCAGGATGCCATAATTAGGAGGATAATAAATATTGTTAGTGGTCCCAAAAGGGTAAAGATGTAGGGTGCCCAGGATCCCCACGGTAGCCAATGGGAAATAGCCGTCTTTTTTTTTTTTTTTTTTTTTTTTTGCTCTGTACTCTCTGATACATTTTATCTTACCCATGATAATTCCCAAAGATTGACCAAAAAAACCAAAACAGTATTTTTCTTCCAGTGTGGCCCAGGTTCCCCCTTTTCTGCTGTGAGGATGTCCAGGGCTCAGTGGTTTTGAAGGGCTCTGTTGCTAAAGTGTGGATCTGGTTTCAGAGTGTGTTGACACTGCTGCCTCCGTGAGCTGTTGGGTGAGATCAGCTTAGAGTCTTTGGTAGTGGTATAAAGAGACTGCCAGGCCTGTGCCCCAAGTCCCGCCTCCCAAACAGAGAAGATGCCTCTTCCACCCAGTAGCAGAGCTGAGCTGCCCTGGTAGCTGTGTGGCGTGGTTGTAAGGGGGCAGAGTTGGTTTTGTCGCTTTAGGATCCCTGTGTTTGCCTCTGGGCAGCTAGGGAGACGTGGGCTGAGAAACCCTATCGTGCAGGAACCAGAGCAAGAGCTTGGAAGGCACCCGTGTGCCCCTTTGGGGCACGTGATAGAGGAAACTGATGGGGAACAGGTGGGCTTGCCGAGGTTGGCGGAGGAATGGAGAGCAGTTATTCCCCTTTTCCTGTTGACAGTGAGAGGTACTATTATGGCCAAGGCATGTGAAAAGATTGGAGGTGGCCAGTGGAGAGATCGATAGTGGACCTACAGACGTAGAGGTGTCTGTTGAGGTTACACTGCAGGCACAACCCCACATTATCGGTTGGGCCATGTGTAAGCTTTGATTGATCAGAAGAGAGAGCCGGCACTGCGTGCAGTGCATGTTTGGAAGATCATATTAGGCAAATGCATGACCGAGAAGCTCGCGAATGGTGGAGGAGAGGTGCGCACAGAGCAGAGATACAGCTAAGGTAAAAGTGGAAATGTTAGGGCGAGGTTCTGTTTTGGTTTGGTGCCTTTTTTATGTGTATGCTAAGGAGCCGGATCTACTCCCTGAACAGAGAGTCTGATCCCCAGGTGTGGCCTTGGCCAGCAGGGGTCAGAGGGCTGTAGGGGAGAGGATGAGAGGGTTCGGCTGTTGTGCAGCTAATTTGGCCTGTGCGTCCGCGAAGGTGTTTCCCTGAGAGATAAAATCTGGTGGTGCGTGGTGTCCCCTGCAGTGAATGGCTGCTACTTGTTTGGGGAGCTGTGCTGCCTCTGGTCGTTTGAGGATGAGGGGTGCATTAGTGATGGGGGTTCTTTGAGTGCTGATCAGACCCCTTTCTTGCCAGATGGTGGTGTGGGTATGAAGGATACTCACTGTGTGTTTCAAGTCACTTACAGAGATTGTGATTTTGTCCTTGGTGAGTATGAGGGCCGCTGGAAGGGTGTAAGTTGCACCTTTTGTGAAGATGACCCAGATGGCAGTGGACTTGCCTGCATTACCTTAGAGCCCCTGACTATGGTATCGGCTGCTCTTTTTGAGTGTCTGTGTTGGTTGAGCTGCCATCTATGAACCATGTGTCAGAGGCTGTAGGGAGGATCGCTGTTAATGTGGGGGAAGAAGGTTGGGGGCATCTGTAAGACGTCCATGAAACTGTGGTGAGAGATCTCATCAGAGGTGGCAGTAAGGTGGCCGGGTTGAGGGGCTGCTGGTGGAGACAGAGATTGAGGGATCTCATAGGACCATTAAGTGAACTTGTAGACAGAAAGGAGTCATTAAGGCAGGGAATATTTTGTATGAAATGAGCTCATTAAGGTGATGGGGTGAGTGGACTGTGATTGATTGTCCTAAAGTGAACTTTTTGCCTCTTGTATTAATGTGGCCGCTGATGCAAAAGCCCAAAGACAGGGAGGCCAGCTCTGCATTGTGCTGTCCAACTGATTTGAAAGGCAGGCTACTGGTCCTTTGTGTGTCCTGGAACTCCCACAGCGCTATGGTCCTGAGAGGTAGTATACAAAACAAAGAGCTGGGTTGGATTTGGGAGAGTGAGGGTTGAGGCTCTGTTAGTTTATAGAATAAGAGTGTGTGGAAGTGGTGGGGTCACCTTAAATGCTTTATAGAGGGGTTAGGCAAGAGTTGCAAAGTTAGGGATCCAGGCAAAAGATGGTGGAAGAAGTTAGCTAACCCAGGAAAGGACAGAACCTGTTGTTCTGTAGCTGGTACCTGGAGGAGGCTTTGTAACCGAATGATGGTGGGAGAGAGGGTGAGCCCAGGTATCTGACTTTTGGAGAAGCTATTTGGGCTTCTATATCTGCAGCCTGAGAGGAGGTAGAGAAGGGTAGCCATGTGCTAAAGTGCAGGATGGGGAGCAGCGAAGATCACATATTGAAGGAAAGTGCTGGGCTTGAGATCCAGAGTCACAAGGTTGGCAGCAAGGGCTTGGCTAAGGACGATCTCTGAACCCCCGAGGTAGGATGTCCACGTAAGCCGGAAGACTGGAGAGTGTCTCGGGCTGTCTACATGGAAGCAAAGAGGTCTTGACATTTTGGGTGTAAGGGGATAGTGAAAAAATGCACCATTTGGAAGATCTAAAACAGTGAAGGAGAGATAAAAGGGGGGTACGGGGGAGCATGGTGTGAGCATTTGGTGCCACTGGGTCAATGGTATCACTGCCTTGTTGATAGATAGCCCTGAGATCTTGAACTAGGCCGTAGGAGCCATTGAAATATTT